ATCTAAAGCCAATTAAGACCTTGAAGAATTAAACTGCGTCCTAATAGATACAGATGGCCGTGGCCATCCGCAATAGTATTGGCTTCCCTTAGTCTTTCCTGATATCTTTTTTCTCCTGCGTTCCGAATGTTTCCTTCGTCTACGGAATTACTGCCTACACAGCAGAAAATCGCTCTGACAAATTGTAGACGAAATATATTAACTAATCGTCCATTATACATATCTCTTTCCAAAACACGTTAATGGATTCTCTCAGAGGACGAAGAAATTGATAACAATTTATTTTCATTTTCGTAATGTGGCTGTTTTACTTTAATGTATTCAATTCAGACTTAATTGATAAGTAAAGAGACATTTACGACATTTATTTTTCTTATATCGAGTTCCGTTGCCTGCTTTTCGTTATGTAAGAAATTCGAGTTTTTGTGAAGGGTTTTTGCAAAATGCGAAGAAATATCTGCTGAGTTGAAACGGATAATTGATTGGATCCTTCTAAAAGTTCTATTAACAGTAATCATACGTCTATTACGATCCATCACAGCGCTACATGTTAGATTTTAGCAGAGCTAGCTGGAGAAAAAACGTTCATTGGATTTCGAAGAACATCAGCATCAGGTGTAACGATTTTTAGATCGTCCCCTAAAGCAAGGGGACTATCTGACTATCATTGGCTAGCTTGTATTCCCTTGATCGTTGCATTAGTAATACATCTCGCACATCTGGCTCGAGATAATCTATTTCCGTGTCCCTAGTTTCTCCACTCGATGTATCAATCTCCGCACATCTTTAAGAAGCTTAGAAACTTATCAATGATTTTTAGCATGCGACAATTTATATCACAGAGAATATACATTTTATAATCTTTAATTAATAATTAATCGAATAAATGTAATGTGCTTTTTTTAAAAAGATACCTTGGTGCTCGACAATATCAGCTCATCGCGCGCGACTCTACAAAATCCAATTAGTCAAAGAAAGCGAGCTTAGCCTTCGACATTGGCCTTGTGAGAGTTTCTATCCGCATTTATATCCGACGCATAGCATTTGAAATTCAATTACTGCAGCTGTAAAATCAAATTTTCGTGTAAATGAATGCGCCCTCACGTTTCCCGAACACGTGTACGCAAATGCACGGTTCTCGCGAGGCAATACGTTTAATAGACGCCGCGATGCAAACGCGATCTTTCCCCAATAGTATTCGTTTCATGCATTGCACGATCCACTCACTGTCTAGTGGATCGAAGAGGCAGAAAGGGTGCACAAAGAGAGCATAAATTTTGAGTTTTATAGTGAGCTTTTCCAATTTACTTTACTGCTTTTATTAACGTTATTTTACTCCTTCGATGACATGAAAAAATATTAGATTTTCTTTCTGTGGTTAATCAAAGCTTAAATGTGTGTGGAAAAATATCAAATAATCGAAGGCTTCGAGCTATCTAAGTTATTTCAATTCTTATCGTATGTACGGGTCAAGTTTTACTTCAGATTTTTTACAGATCAGTGAACATAGGCGCACAATTTTCTCTTTACAGTTTCCTCTCGTAGGATCTCGAATAGGAAGCGTATACGCGAAGCGCACGATCGCTGGTAAGGATTTTATGGTAGTTGCACACACGTATCTGTACTATATCGGCGGATTCCATCGGCTTGGGGCGAGAGAATGCCGGGCGATAATGTCCTATCCGCAGATTTCAGAACGAACCAGACATCGGCCTTTGCATTCCCTCGCTACAAATACACTCGGCTCAAAAGCTGGGATTAAACGCACGTCACAGCAATTTTTCAACGATTTTACGGACTCAACTTTGAGATTTACGAGATACGCCAAAACGTTCGAAGATTCTTTCCCCTTAGAAAATCTAGCTAGAATGTTTCAAATGTCAAAATCTCAGTTTTCAACGCTTATCGATCTTGGCTAACAAAATTTCTACGTCGTAGAAAAATATTTTTTATAGAAATAAAAATTATTGCACGCGATTAATTTTTTTGAAAAATGTACCTCTAATTTTAGCTACAATGAACATGGGTGAATTCTTACTCAGAATATTCTCTTAAATATTAACGAACAAAAAACAGCTATAAAAGCCGTGATTTTTTATTCACTACTCAGAAATTGTTTCTAAAAGTGTCAATCTAATTTTCATTACATATGAAATGAGATGTGTACAGTATACATGCGTTAAATAGGTAATTAAAAATTTGAATTACTCGTTAATTACATAAATATGTGTCTAAAAGTTTCAGAAATTTCTAAATTTTATTTCATGTAGAGTATATTGTAAATAGTCTCTTTCTTCGGCAAGCGGCTTTAAGCGTGTGATATCCGGAAGGATCTGCGATTGTTACGGAAGGTGCGCATCCCTCGTCTCGAGAGGTGTCACACCTTACTATACAATTGATAGTACCCTATCATCCTTGACAAGGGAACAACGATGTCGCGCCCACGAAGGGAACAACTCAGATTAAGAGCCACGCGGATAACAACATGGGAAACGCGCGGCCTGCTTCCTTTCGGGTGGCATTACCCTCATGAGAGTTAAGTTAAAGAGCTAGCAGAAGTGCTGGTAGAGAGGAAGGGTTGACATTCAGTCAAATCTTTGTATATCGAAGAGATGAAATGGATTGTCGGTGCACTCAGTATACTCGAAATAATCTTAATCGGCAGTGCTTCAGATGAAAAGAATTTATAACCAGAAATATCGTATTTTTTCGTAATGCATTATATTATAAAATATGTAACAATCTAAATAAATTATATAGAATAATTAATTATGCGTGGAAAACGTTTCATTGCATTTGTTAATCATTCAAGCTCATATTTCTTAAGACTTTATTATTTTATTGTAAGTATTTCCATAATTTTGAATTTATTTTCGAAACTTATATAAGAGTTTAAACAATTTGGCAGGGCGAACGCTCTTACGTTATAAGCTACCTACGAAGGATCACGGTTAAAAGAAGTGCGATCCTTGTGCAAACAGTGCGGTAGTTCTCATTACCGATCCCTTTGTGCTGAAACAGTTTCTAATCCGCTGCATATCTTATGAGACACTCGTACATTGGTGCTTTATTTAAATTTCAAATAGCAATCGTGCGCAAATTGTGAAGTCAATTTCTTAGATAAGCATATAATCATTAAAAAGATCTATGAATAAATGTGCTTATTATATGTTTATTAAGATAAAATTTCTTTAACAACAACAAAAAAAGAGAGACAGAGAGAAAGCACTTTGTAAGCACTTTGTTTCTTTTATCCATTGCTATCATTAATTGCTTAAGCGTATAAGCAAAGTAATTACTTAATTACTGTATGTTATATCGCATATAGGACATACAGTTATCAGTATATGAAGAACATTGATTTTCCACGAGGTTAAGGACATCGTAAACTGCAGGCACCTACTATAGCCACGTGACTCGTCGCGATGAAAATTTATAACTACCTGCGATGCCTTTTTGCTTATCGGGATTTCTTATTATTAAATTATTATTCAGTCCACATGTAGTCAATAAAACGAATACATGCAATCCATGGAAAATAATTATTTACGCTGAAAATCGATTGTTACTAAAGCTATTAAGCTATCAGTCGCTTTAATTGAAATCAATTGTATGCATTATATATCTCCTTCGGCTAATAAATTTTCTCGAAGGCCATTTTCTAAAATAGAACAAACTATGTATAATTAAAACTGTAATACTCAAACTGAATTTTTCCGAATTTATTCCTAGCTTATTCACACAGTTAATTTTCCGTAACTTTCGACAGAAACTGATTATTTTTCATATTATAAAGTTTTCCATTAAGGTAATTGAAAAACATCCATTGCAAAAATCGATTCGATTAACTTTGCTCTCACGCCGACGAGATTAATTCGTTCACGCGCGAAGCTTCCTTGCAATTATACCCGAATCCATCTTACTCATCGAATCGCTTTTACATCGGCAGCTTCTGGCTGCCAGTAACGCCAGTTAACAGGCTTACCTCTTGGCTCGGTAAACCTTCTATCTCGTTAGCTGTGGCCGATGCAACTCGTGACCCACATGCAATCGGCGATTGAAAATTGCTAAGCACCCAGCACGGCGCGAAAATCTACGGCCAACGTGTCCTCCCTTTTCAAACGTGCATCTTTTATGATCCTTCTCGGCGCCGCATCCAGCTGCAGCGGAAACAATACAACGCACGCAGGAAGATCCCCCGGCAGAGCAGGGGTGTTTGAAACTTGGAGACGGGAGAAAGTTCCTTTACGATCATGGATTTGTAAAAATTCAACGTTCACAAAGACGAGCTGCTGATTTGACGTGTGCAACACAAAATCCGCATTAATCACTCGACCCGCATCATCTTCCGCTGCAGTGATTTTTAAGCGCACGCAAGTTGCTTTAACAGAATGAAAAAATATTTTCAAATTGCAACCCTAGATAGATAAAAGAGTTCAACGAACTTATCGCGCGTATTATCGAACGTCAGTTTTTTTCACACTATTATATTCTCCACTCGAGCTCTGTATCATCATCGTCCAGTCTCACTTCAGTCACCATAACGTTGCACTACATCCAGATCAATCATGATTCCGAGCCGCATAGGGTCATTAAACTCTCGTTTTTATTGACGATCTCTCGTTCGTCAAAACTTAATGAGAAAAAGGGTACGTTACGCGACAACAGCAGGCCGTCTGCCGCTTGTTTTCTCCCAACTGCGTCCGGGTCGAGCACCTACCTAGCCGAGTCGTCATCGGGGACTCGACGCAGGCGCGTCGGAACGAGCAACCCTCCCTTGCCCCGTCTCCAGCGTGGCTTCTCGTGGCATCGAGAGGGTGGCCGAGGAAGCTTGAACACAAGTCCGCCGAACGAACGCCACGCTTGAATCCCCGAATGACGGCGATAGAGAGGCCGAGAAAACCATCGTCGAGAGAACAATCCCGCACTCTGTCATGTCTTAGATGCCGGATTGTCGACGAAGCGGCGTAAATATAGATATTGCGCAGCTGTGCTAGCATACATTCCTAATCTTATCAGATCACATTTTTGTAGAACAGCCTTTACACGATTCAGATATCAATAATTTTATTAAATTCTGATAAATTATTGAATATATAAAATCTAGCTTCTAAAATCTGTCATATTTGATTTCTTCTTATTATCTTTATTGCCGCAAAAAAAAGAATACAATTATTAATCGTTATTATAACATGTATATTATTCGTAATTCTCTATATTTTTAATTTATTTTTTCTCGTCAACAAATACTCTCAATTATTGAAATGTTGCATCTAAATTACATAAATATTAAAAATTAATTTCAGAGAAAAATGTGTAACAGGTGCAAAAATATCTTCAAAATGGAAATAGGTCATGTCATGCTGAGACAATAATATTGTGTCAAGTCTTTATCGAGTGCTGTTGCTCGTCGACAATAGTATTAACAATCTCTCGCGCATAGAATGGTTGGCGGGAGACTGAGTCGGACTAGTAGATTTGCTTGGTACGGCAGCATCACTGGACCAACGCATGCGTGGGCGTCAGTTCCCATGGAAACTGGGAATGCGAGGCACCGCGTGTTGAATGCGTATTGATTACTCTGCTCTCGCTCCATTCCGCGATCTCTTGCATCTTCTTCAGGCTATCCCGGATTCTCACTCTTTCTCTCTCACTCTTTCTCTCTCTCTCTCTCTCTCTCTCTCTCTCTCTGTATCGTCCCGTTTCCACACAGGACTCCTGTGACAGGAGTTCCCTCGTTCTATCGGGCGGTCTCCCCCTCTTTTCTTTAAATTAGCCCCCTAATGTCCCGTCCCCAACATCCTCGAATGAAATCGGGTTCTCTCTTTCATTGTAGCCTGCCGGTTCGCGCGAGGGTCGGTTTTGCTTAAATTAATGCGTCTCGTACCAACTTTTGCGGTTGCGAATACGTGTACTCGACACAACGGTTGGAGACATACGCTTTTTTTATGTATAAAAAAGCTGCGCATGTAAAATGGCAAAAAAAAGCGCATCTTTCATATATTGAACTCTAAATTTCTTAAACAATTTTTAATCTTACTTCTTATAATTAGTTAACTAAAATATAACTGATTAACGATAAGTATAAGTCGCAATTTTTTATAATGACAGTTACAAATACTATAGAAATTTAAGAAACTTTGACTATTATTGTTTTACAAAACTTTTGTTTCGACATTTAAATGTGAAGTCTTTTTCGCTGTTGCAAATTTGATAGCATGCTGTAATAAGAACTGGAGGAGCGTAGACACAGTGTACTCGAATAATTTCGGTCGTTGGTCACACTAATAGATTGCCAGGCGGAACAAATTGTTTCGTCTACATTTCGCGATGGCAGAATCTATCAAGGAAAACAGGAAATTGGCAATCGTCAGTTCGGTGAAACTCTTTTCGAACCTGGTTATAGCTTTATGAAGTCATTCTCAAATTTATAAATATTGGACTAAATTGTGTCACACAGATAGTTTCAACTGTATCTTCCTGCTGCAAATTAGAAATTAAAGGAAAGTGATAATATTACGTATTCACTTGAATTTTCACTGACAATAGAAATAGATTTTCGTAGCGCGGAAAGAGCGAAGACCGTAGCAAACATGAGGGGAAAGTAAAAAAAATAAAAGAAAAAGTATTCGAGTCTTGTAGAGTTTTCTGTGAAAACAAAATTAATTGTATATTAATTATAAGGGAGAAAGTTGGCTGTGAATGTATAAATTAAATAAATTTTCTAAAGGGATTAGATGAAATGTAAGATGTGATGTCGTGACGCGAAACTGATAGTATCTATTGATATAATTTCGTCCTTCGAACTTGCCGAATTTCACAAGCAAGTGATGAAAACAATGATGATGGGAAATCTTGATTAATGTGCTGGCGTGACGATTGTTGGCTCATTCGCGACACTTTTATTTTCGCTAGCGCTCTGTTGCTTGACGTTTGGTCACACTTTGTGACTGCAGGGACGCATTAAATGATATTATCGTACGGAAAAATGTTGTAAGCTGCCATTTTTACAGTAAACCCTCACAGTAAAATCTTGCCATATATCTTTTTTATAAACTGAAATAATAAATATCACAGTTATTAAGAAAAATGCAGGAATGAACGTAGAACTCTCTTGCAGAAACTGTAAACAGAAAATAGAAGCATGAAAACAAAAGTCGATAAAAATTCAGCGGTAAACAGAACTTTCCTGCACTGATAGATTTGATTGCAAGAAAGTCCTGTATTCGTCCCTGAAGGGTGAATACGCGACAGCATCCCATGCATGACTACTATATAAATAGGTGAAACTTGGAAAATTAGAGAGCCACTTTTACGTTATCTCTACGTTAGAACAGATATTCGTCCAACTTGAGCGGCTCAACATTAGAACTGTTCGTATACTCGGATATCCGGAACGTATCAAGCTCGAACGAGAAGTGCATTAAACAACTCGTGCTTTAATTTATCGCGATGATGACGCGTGTCGCAGTCCTTTTCGTCGTCGGTGTTTGTTGTGTGCTGGCGGAGGAGAGTGAGTTCGCGGCGACGACCGAACTACCGAAGAGAGATTCCAATTCGGAAGACCGACTCCTGACAAACATCATTCACGTTACAAACTCGTCGCAACTCACTCAAGATAAGAGCAACGAGGAAGAATCCAAGAAAACAGACAAAAAGCCGAGAACCGTCATACATCGCGACTCGGGTCACGATTCCAGAGATAAGTCAATATTTTCCACCGAATTGTAGTTTCTTTCTTCTCAAGTTTCAAATTTCTTTTCTCTAACTCTCAAAGTTGAAACGTGACGGATGACGTGACATAAATTCAAATCGATGACAGTTTGGATTACGGAGCATTTCTATTTGCAAGTTCCAGCTGCTGCGGCTCCAGATACAGTTCCACCGGATCTGCACGACCGGATTATAATTATAACAAAATCCCTTTAGGAACCGGACGATATCCCGAATACGGCGAACGACACCCTGTCGACAGGTAGTAATGTTATTGGCTATGTGTATATATATTATGAAAATTTAAAAACGCAAAATTTTAGATGGGGATGGCAAACCCAAAGTCGACCCCCAGGTTCCACCGGGAGCAGCTCTAGACCCGGAGGAGCAGGAGGAGGAGGAGGAGGGAGTGCGAACGGAGGCTACAGCGGAAACGGAGTCTACGCAGGAAGTCAGTCGGGAGACAGGTAAATTTTCTAACATCCTGCGACTATAAATTTTCCACTAATGTACATTACATTTTTCTTTATACAATCTAGAGAAAGAACTAATTTTCTTATAACGTTAAAAAATTCATAAAGAAATATCTCAATATTAGATAGATATTTCGATTTAAACATTTTCGCTAATATTTCGTTCGCTTGACGGAAATAAAAGGTACGGACCGCGTCCAGTGTATGGAAGTGAAAGTTCAAACAGACCAAGTACTTTGGGATACGGTTCAGGAAACGGAGGCTATGGCTATGGCGGCAATGGTTACGGGGGCTATGGTAGACCGACTGGATATGGAAGCTATGGGGTTTCGGGAACGTTGGCCGACGGTGACGAATTTGGTTCTGGTGATCTGGAAGGAAGCATGCCGCAACCTCCAGGAAATCTTCACACACAAAAAGTGCATACATTTTGAAAGAAATGTCTTTTATACATTTTTAAATGTCTAAAAATGTTTTCGAAAATGTATAATTTAAAAATTAAAAAATTACAGATTAAATATATAATATATAAATAATATATTTATTTATGAAGGCCGTAGCATTGAAAGCTCTAGCTGGTGTTGCATTGATCGGGGCAGCAGCGGCATTAGCTTCAAATCCGGTTCTCCTGCCGATTGGCATCGTGACTGGAAGAAAAAAAAGATCGGAAACTTTCTCAGAGGAAACGCTGACCGATTTCCAAATGGATTACATTTTGAACACGCTAAAAAGAAATTTGGCCGAGGTACATATAACGTAATATTGTTTCCGCAAAAATTTTACTAAAATACTGTCTTTGTTTTTAGATACAGAGAGGTAGTTCGACCAATAGACTGGTTGTTTCTCCAAGATGCGTCGCTAGACTGACATGCGAAATTCAAAAAGATTATTTGACTGAAATCGACAAGGATACAGAGTTCTTGGACACGGACCGAAAATATTATCTCATTAAGCTGTATGCATTTTTCTCAATATTTAAATAACCATAAGACTACATCGATTGTCTAATTAACTTGAATTTTTGCAGACTGCAGAAAAATGTACTTAATATCTCTTCCGTGAGTGCAAATGTGAAGAACTTGATCAAATTTGCCGCCGGCGTTGCATCAGAAAATAAAAACTGCGATGTATTTACTTGCAATTATGTAAGAAAAGGTTGAGTAAAATTTTAATTGGTCCTTCACTGCGCTACGCGTGAAACACGACCGTCTCTTGATAATTCATATTATAATTCACATTTATCACTGTTTGACAAAGAAAAATGCATATACATAGAAATAAAATTTCGTTGTATAATCATAGTATTGTAATTTAATCTTTTCACTACCAAAGAAACACATCTTAACGAAATATGGAATGTAGCCTATAAAAGAAAAGAAAGTGCGTAAAGTGTGTAAAGTTCATAAAGGTGATCAAAAACTGCCGCAACGGTTGATTAATAATAATACTAATAATTTTGGTCACACGATATCTTCTAACACTGAAATTGAGCGTTGAACCACAATGAAAAGGCATCTTGATGCATATACATAAGAAAATCAATCAATCATGTGGCTCACGCTTTCAATGAAAATTTACATTAGATTTTTTTATTTATCATGTATGTATATGATGAAAATACGCAGGTTTATCTGGATATATTTAAAAAAATATTTACTCGTTATATATTGTTTAAAAATATTCATTGGATATTCTATTTGCATTTTTTCTATTCGATATTTTTGTATTGAAATTGAAAAATATCGAATGTCAGTAAACAAGTCTACTCTAGGATCCTCTTAATGATGAAAGTGTGTAAACCATATACGAATATACTATTATAGAAGTTATTACATATATGGCATAAAGAATCTGTAAGAGTTTGATTTGAAATTTCCTCCAAATATACTGTTTTATCAATGCCAGATGGTGCTTTAGTTCTCTCTTCGTGCGCACGTGAGTTGCGAGTAAAAAAAAACAATGTATAACTGACGTGTCCTAATAGGAAACAACGTGGCGACACGACAGTGCATTGACAGTGTACGATAGTGTATGAGTATAGCGTATGGAATTCGTGACGTGTGATTCTTATTTAATTTATTTATTTTTTGTACGTTTGAAAATCGCGAAAAGAAATTAATTCGTGGATAACGTGAAAAAGAAAGAATTAACATTGCGAAGCGTCGCTCCGTTATTCCTTGGCAGAACACATCGCGCAAGCAAGAAGCAAAGGTTATGTCTGCAATGATCGCGTCGGTGATATTTTACGACTGTTAGCACAAATTATTTTGCCGTCATTGCGAAAATAACTTAACTGCTGATGCATTATCGGGCATCGTCGTACGTATTCATTCGCCTGCGATATGCGATGACTAACCTAAACGCAAATTCTAACCTAACGATCGGCAATAACCTTGAAAATCTCCATTAAAGTGTCAACGTGTAAACGTAATACGAGTGAATATCTATTGCTGATTGTATGAGAATTAGAAGAGAAAATATGAAGAGAAAATTGGAAAAAGGAGACCGTGTTATGGAGGATGGAGGTGCCACTGACGTGAACAATGCCCAGGAACCCTCTGATTTGCGCGGTGATGAGAAAAATATCGCAATTCTATTTTTTTTGTATTTATTACAAGGAATCCCACTTGGATTATGTGGCTCAATTCCCATGCTGTTGCAGAACAGAGGAGTTTCTTATCGGCAACAGGTGAGTGAGAGCTTTCTTTTATAGTCTTAGGAACAAATCTTAGGAACAAATAAACATCATTTTTCTTCAATATTTTACATACAATTGATCAAACACAGCTCTATTAATGTATATATCATTATTTCTCATTTAATTTATCATTTATTTACTCTTAGTTTTCCTAAAATGTGTGACTTAACACGTTCTCTACCGGATCAATTTTTGATGATTCCGTTCACATTGTGTGAGTCGCATGCACCCCATGTATCAAACACTATTTATATTTTATAGATATAATAAAAATATACAACAGCCTGAATGGAAAGTTCAGTGTGGTGCATATGGTCCATGTGGCAGAAAACGTGTTAATTAAAAATGTTTTTGATATGAGTTCAAATGTAATTCTTTTTCTTTTTTAACAATTTTTCACATTTGTTCTTTAACAATTGTAAAGTTTAAGAGTAAACTGAACTAAATCATAGAAAATTTAACCAGACAGTAACATATAATCTACTTTGTTTACAGGCAGAATTTAGTTTTGTACAATGGCCATTTTCATTAAAACTTTTTTGGGCACCTATAGTGGATTCCATTTTTTCTCAAAAGTTTGGTAGAAGAAAGACTTGGTTAATACCTACCCAGTATCTAATGGGCATGTTTATGTTGCTTCTGTCCAATTACGTTGAACATTGGTTGGGCAAAGAGCATGAAAAACCTAACATTGAAATGCTAACCGCATTGTTTTTTGCCTTGAACGTACTTGCTGCGACACAGGACATTGTAGTAGACGGATGGGCGCTTACGATGCTTAAGAGGTATTTTTGCAAAATATTTGTTTTAATATGACGTGCGTCAACAGTGTTTGTGTACAATTCGTTTAATTATAATTTATTCGTAAAGGTGCAACGTTGGATATGCATCTACTTGTAACAGTGTCGGGCAAACGGCAGGCTACTTCATTGGCTATGTCTTATTTATTTCACTGGAATCTGCAGAATTTTGTAATAGTTATTTACGATCAACTCCTTCTGATGAAAGCATACTGACTCTACCTGGTAAGAATCGTAATTATTATTACATTATATTGAACATATTTGAATTGTAATGAATGAATCGTTATGTGTGTAGGATTTCTGTATTTTTGGGGCTGGACATTTATTGTTACTACAACGTTTATCGCCTTATTCAAACGTGAAGATAAAGGTAGAGTTTTAAAGGGCGAAGAACTCAATATGGACATTAAACATGCATACAAATTGCTGTGGAATTTGGTTAAATTGCCGGCTATAAAGACTACAATTATCTTTCTTTTAACTGCAAAGGTTAGTAAATTATGGATTTGAAAATTTGAACTTACATAATCCGTTATATATTCGTTACATTATTGTTGCATTTGTAGATCGGTTTTTCGGCATGTGATGCTGTAACTAGTTTAAAGCTCATAGAAGCTGGTTTTCCCAAGGAAAAACTTGCTTTTATGGCTGTACCTATGATACCATTACAAATAATTTTACCGTTAATGATATCGAAATATACTGCTGGGCCCAGACCTATGGACGTTTATATGAAAGCCATGCCTTACAGGTAATTAATTAATGTAACTTGTTGATATTTAACTATGAAGATTTCACTCAGATAATAACTTCTATATTTACTTGTGTGATACAGGCTGGCTTTCGGGTTAATAGCAGCGTTTTTGGTGTGGGTCACACCGTTCATTGTATTAAATGGACTCGCTCCAGCTTACTATTTCGTTGTATTAATAGCCCTCTATTTTATACATCAGGTAAATATTAACTCTTTATGTACTTTGTATCTTTGAAGCAGGCTCTCATAGGGTCGATCATTTAATCATTGCAATTATTCTTTTCACATTTCAGATTTGTGCAAGTAGTATGTTCGTGGCATCGATGGCTTTCTTCGCGAAAGTGAGTGATCCGGCTGTTGGTGGCACTTACATGACATTGCTCAATACTTTATGCAATCTCGGTGGAAATTGGCCCGCCACGGCCGCACTTTGGTTTGTCGATCCTTTAACATTTCGACAATGCAGTACTGATTTTACAAATGATTGTAGCACAATTACAGAAAGAGAGGTGAGTCGCGGTACTATTTGCCTTTGTATTATATTTTTACATTATATATTTTCTTTATATTATATATTTATATTGTATGATATAAAAATGTATTTATACCATTGTATTACATTTCAGATCTGTGCGAATACCGATAACGGTGTTTGCGTTACGCAGCTAGATGGTTATTACATAGAGAGCATTCTCTGCTTAATCATAGGCTTCTCCTGGCTTAGGTGGGGTCGTAGAAAAATTAATATATTACAAGGAAAACCAATGTCCGCTTGGAAAATTGTGCTTACTCGTAACAACAGGTAACATATCGACACACAACATTATGAATCTATTAATACCTGGTACCTGTAAAACTATTAGGAAATTTTTTTCAATGAGTTGATACATATGTAGTGTGTCCATCGAGTTTCTTTATGTCAAATCCGTTATGTTATCAAATCGCATCAAACTGAATAATTTTGAAAAATCATTTGAGCAAAAATAATATTCAACTCAATTTGTTCAAGAAATTTATTTGAAGAATTTTGTGAAAACACTATTATATATCTGCCCATATGTGGGGCACGTGCATGCATCATTTCCTGCACGTTTATCAAGTGTTCCAGTTTTATAAATGTACACAAGGTAAATCGATAACGATCCACCTTGTAAAGCAATATGTTATACATTGTAGAATATATACAGAGTACAGACTTTATGATGAAAAAATAAAAATATGCTACAATCTTAGATAAATATTTTGTGTATAAAGGGTCTTTAAAGGTTGTAATATTTCTTTCTTTGATTCGCGCTATTAATGTGATTTAGTAAAGATATGAAATATTTACTATACATAATACAACTAAAATGTTATTTATTGTATATAAAGAAATTGTATTATGATATAATGTATATTTTCCTCCCTTATGCGCGCGTGCATGTGTGTTGTGTGTGTGAGAGAGAGAGAAAGATATGTATAATATACATTACACACACATAATACATATTTTTCTTATACATAATATTTATGTATTTGTTAATTAATCGACAAGTCTAATGCTTTCCACATTACAAAAGAAGCGGAATATAATTATTTTTTTATAAAGCGTTATTAACATGACATTTAGGTGAGACTTGCATACATGAACTTATGATTTATTATCTTTCTACCAGAAAATTAGCTTATTGTTGCAATTAATATAATTTACACAAAATTATACTTTACAGATGTTTCATAGAAATTTTGTAAAAATTGATGAACGTAACACATGCGACGTACGTTTATACTGTAAATATATGTGAAAATATTTTACTTACGTATGAACTAATGGATATTTAACCAAGATGTTAATAAAAGTTTTTTGTATAAAAAGTTGAAATCGATGTACATGCGCATCGAGTTCTTTTATACCTGTCTGAAAAAATTGTGATTTAGGCAAATTATGAAGGTACATTATCAAACATGATAACCGTACGTATAAAATTACGTTTTTTTAAAATAGGTATAGCTACACTTTTAAATATGGATAATAGAAATGAATCACTCGCATAAATTTTTAGGACGGCCAATGTATTGCACAAGGACAATATTGCACGACAGAGTCAATCAGATGTGTTACTGTGGAATCAATCATTTGTATCACTACGATGAAATTAAATTGTTTTTCATGCAAACATCTTACGTACGTGCAGGAATCTGTATTAATATCACAGATACAGAATTGCTTATTAAAAGAATATTTTTATGAACGATTAAATCAATTCTCAACAGTTTATTTTGTTGGAAATCATACTACAGTAATTATAACGTAGTAATTGACAGAATATATCGTTTGTACTTCGCTTTGAGGAATTGCATTTTATCGCTCGATATTTATCGCTTATTATTAAAGAGATATAAATGTCTCTTAATAAATAAATTCCTTTTAAATAACAAATTATTCGTCATTTGAGCACTCTTATTTTAAAACATTTTGACATTTTCTTATATAACATTTGTCGTTGGTATACATCGATGTTAAACATATTGTACAAATACTTTCCATGTAACATCATACATTTATACTTCTCACGCGCAATACACGTTTATGCAACACACATAGATTATGAACTACATACGTAACAAAATATATTTTATGTATAGACACAATATATATTTTTAGTATATATCCAGAGAATAAGTTTTGTACTCTCTATTTATCTTTCGTGATTTTATTAATTTTATCAATGCATATTTTCAACAAATTATAAATGTTTTTAATCTTAACGATTAGTGTAATGCAAATGAATCTATTATCAAGACTTTAAATTTCATTCTTTTTTATTTTTGTAATATCTACCTATGTTCCTAAGACACGATTCTGAAGTCAATACACGCAAATGTAAATTATGTTAAATCAAATCGTTTTATAAATTTTTAGTGTATAGTCTTTTTATAATTTTTAGTTAATAGTGAGATAATTTGGTCATTCAAAAACGATATTTTATCGTTATCGTATACTTAATCGATACTTAAGCTAAAAAAAAATTATATAAAATGAGAGAAATGATGAACATTCATGAATTTTTAATTTTCTCTCTGAACATTTCACTTCAAGTTTGCTAAATGTACAACGGCACCAACTTATAGCGCAAATGGTTCGTCAAACACATCAGTTAATTTTGTGGCTAGTTTTGTAGCTAATTTTGTAATAACAACAGTCATCTGAAGAAAGGAAGAACTATATGTTCTTTGTTAATAGTAAAAAGTAATGACACAAATTTAAAATTATAAAAATAATTCTCATGATTCAAACTAGAATAGTCAGACTAGATGCAGCTAAGTCCTAAAAATATAGTTTTTGTTTGTACCAAACAAAATTTTCAAGAACAGATCTAGTTATTTGTAAGATCGATATATTTATAAAATATATCTTATATTTAAATCTCGTTATTCTGTTGCATTAGCCTGCATTATGTGCACATAGCATGCAAGCGTATTTCGTATTGTTGTTAAACGTTAAAGTTTATAAACGTTCCTTTGATTTTCAACAAAATTCAAGCGATCTTTACTGATAAGCAAAATAATGAAGAATATATTACTTATTGAATGAATTTTTCTGAAAAAATAGGTGCTTTATCACCCTTTGGATTAATTTGTAACGTTAATCCCTATTTTGTACCTTTTTTAGTCTTTCAAGGTAATCATTAAGATAGAATTTGAATTTGAAATATTATTACTAGCTTCTTTCCTACAATGAATGCCGCACAGAAAGTAAATTACTGTTCCTGAAAAAAAATTAAGGTAAAATCGAATTAGCAATTAAAACTTGCTGAAATTTAGTATATACCCACTCTTGCTTTTCAAATTTCTATGTTTGTACACACACACTTACCAATCGCCATCCATATAAAAAATAATTTCCCCATCTCTAGAGAAAAATTAGTCAAGTGCATCATTAAAATAATGTTGAAAAGAATGCTTAATGCAGGTATTAAGGGCACTAGCGGCACTCGAAATTTGCCATCAGGCGGATTTTGTTTATGAACGGCAATTATGGAAATACCTTTGAACAAACAATGAAAAAATATATTTGAAATTAATAGCACACGACGATTGTATTAATCATAATAAAATTATACGAAATTTGACTCACTGACGACGATTATCGTGAAGTACATCCACATGAAAAAGTGTTCGGCAAAAATGTATCCATACGATGTTTTAAGCGCCAATATTAGAAGAACGCTAATGAATAAGCAAGCAGTCGTGTAGATTAATAGAGACAAAAATATGACGTATTTTGAAGCGCTATAAGTATACAGCTTAAAGCAATCTTTCATCCAGGCATATCTTTGTCTGACTTTTCCAATCCCTTCGCATCGCAACTGCGTAACATAAACGATTCATTATTCAAATAGGTTCACCATTGTCTAGTGTGCTGCTATCATTGTATTGCTTTATGATTTACAGAAAGAAAATATTTGAAAGTTATATCACGACGCGGACGAGGCATTGTAAAAGTATTCGGCATACGTACTTCAGACCTGGCGGATGCGACGCTATTGTAATTATTGACATCTGCTTTCTCGGTGGATGATGAGGACCGATTGTTCGGTCTACCTATGGTGTATCTAAGTCTTCTTCTTCTTCTTTCAGTCTTGGAAAAGTACCTAAATCGATTGGATATAGATTTCGCAGATATAACGTCGTATCTCAGTAAAATGACGTCGAACGCCATCATGGTGTATGTGAGCAAGCTCCCAAGCGACATAAATTCCACCAATTGATGAAGGTTGAACAGTAGAGCGATTAAGGCACCGAATCCATTTATGATGACATTGCACACTGACACTTGCGTTCTCTCGTTAATGCGACCGAAGCTGAATAACAAACCCGCATTCGTAGACTGTAACGTTCTCGGCAGAGAGAACAGAGATCCGAAGAGGCTTGTCATTCCGCAAAGAGCGCCACGCTGCAACGCAAAGTCCAAGTTAATGCATTTTAATTGGAAATTATTTCTTGCTGCAATACTTTTTTCCGTAAAAATATTGCCAAGAGTGAAGTTATAACTTTCGAGAACAAAGAGCGTTCACGTTCATATAAACATTAAAAGACTTTTAACGCTTCGAATATTACGGTTATAAGATTACATTCCTCGCTATTGTTATACGTGTGGTGTAAAAATTATGAAACAAAAAGGTAATATATTTTAATAAATTTATTGAAAGGGAAATCAGGAATTCGTTTACCTTATTACATATTTAGCCCAAGAGATACCTTTGGATAAAAAGGCTTCTGGAAAAGCCGCGGTGGGATTGATTGCCCAAAACGGCACAATCAGTGTCAGAGCGGTACTGATCGATATATATCCAATGATTACTATTATCACAGAGAGTAAAGTTGCTCGTGGAATACTTCGTTGTGGATCACGGGCTTCTTGTCCGAACGTCGCAATCGAGTCGAAGCCGATGAAAGCATACAGACACGTTGCTGCGCCTGAATGATGATCAATTTTAACGCTTCCATTTTCAATCAACAAAAATAGCTTTTTTCTTATCTATATAATTATATCTATTGCATTCTTGTGAACAATTTTTTAATTGCAAATGAATTTGCTGATGGATTCACAGATTAGCGTGATTATAGATCATTTATTTTACGATCGTCACATATATCATATTTAGTTGAGTTGCTGACGAAATAACTCACCCTTGATTACATCGCTGAACTTAAATGGCATAAAGCCTCTGTCTTGGCTGCTCCAATTAGAGATATCCGCGTAATAAATTCCCAGGACGACGATCAATCCCATTACTATAAGATTGATGATAGTCAGTAGTGAGTTTATCGTCACTGAAGTTTTCACCCCTACTCCCAAAAGTAACGTATAGATCAAATATGTTCCGCCAGCTAGAAAATCTGGGACATCTACCAACCATCCACCCAATTTGTTATGGGTATAATTGCTAATTGCACCATTTACTAAAGAATCTACATATCCACTCCAAACTCTTGCCATGGATGCTATGCCTAATTAGTAATAAATTCCACTTCTGATAAAACTGGTAAAGTTAAAAATTATTTGTTTATATATTATTTAATTTGTCTTGTTATCAATTAATTATTTAATTCTTATTAATAAATAAATTTTCTAAGTCTTCTAGGAGAAACAAATTTATACCGATTACATTCTTCAGAATGAGGAACCAGCCTACGAAGAAGACCGGATACTCATTTATAAACTCGTTTATAAAGTTGTATGTGAAAACATATACGCTGTCTTTCGGCACTCGAACGGCGAGCTCGACATAACAAAGTGCCGCCAAAACGGAAACAAAACCAGCCAGGAGGAGACTAAGAATCACACCAGGTCCAGATATGGTATGTGCAACCACTCCTGTCACCAGGTAAATTCCGCCGACCATATGACCTACGCCTGGAAGTTGAACGCAGTTGCATAATTGCATAGTAATAGTGCTAATTTAAATAGATTAATTTTATCAAATAAGAAATATATTTGATCAAATTATTTTTATTTAATGCAATTGTTAAAGCTGTTAGATGTTGTTACATTTATAATCGCCGCAATAATAGCAAATTGCATATTGCTTGCATACATCACAATGGAAATTAATTATAATGAAGCAACATATATTATGTAAAAAAAACATCTTATTTTAAATAATTCTACTTGCTTTAAGTTGTAACCGGTGTATAATAAAATATTCACCAAGCAATGTGATGTCGAAGGTGGAAAGATATCTCTCCAATGGAGTTTGAGGAATATCGTCCAATTTTTTCCGATGATTAATTTTGTACCATAAATCGGATATAATGGATATAATGTCACCCAAAATCATCCTTCGAACTGCCGGCATGATGAATCCTGTGGAATTTCAATTTCCAGCTATTGATACGTCATCCGTAAATAAATATTATTTTCTTCAATCAAAAAATAATTTATCGAATTTTTTGATTGTTAAATTAATTATTGTATTAGATATAATTAAATTGCAGGCGAGGAATCTCAGTTTAATTATTTCGATATCCTAATAGAATACACTACGATGATAACAAACATGTTCATTAAATGTCATCCACACTTTCATCGTGACCGATCAATAAAACAAGCAATCCTGGAACATCTCAAGGATACATCGAGATACTATAAAAAGTGCTTACAGCGTAACTGTTGTAATAACAGAAACCTGATAATAAAATTGTCAACTTGCGACTTTGTACTACAGTACATACAACCCGCGATGCGCACATGCATCCGCGATTCACACTAGAAGGGTCATACAGTCACTGTATGCAAGTAAAAAAAGGTGTAATATTCCTCCGTGGATGCGCAGTAGATAACCAATCAGAAATTGCTCTCATATATTGGGCTTGTTCGTTTTAGCTACACTGGGGCTGCTCTGGGTCTGCTCTACACAGGATAACACAGGACAGATAAATAGTTTGTCCTGTATTATCTTGTTTAGAGCAGACCCAGAGCTGCCCCAGTGCAGCTAAAACGAACAAGCCCATTGAAAAGCAAAATCGTTGCTAGCGTTAATACAAGACCTAAAGATCAGCTGACAAATCAGAATTAAATAACTTTCAGAATAAGTTTCTGAAGCCCCTATTATTTGTCATATATAATTTTATCTGTTCCAATCATTGAACTATATACCATACTGGAACGAGCACGCCTTTGTTCTCGACCGGTCAGATGGAGATAGCTGTTTGGACCCGGATCTCTCTATCTAACCAACAGTCTCGGTCACGTGTTCACAGCTACTATTAGTTCTACAAACATTCGCCTTCATAAAAATAAAATTTTATGCTTTAAAATGAAATTGTTGGATAATTATAAAATTTATATGTTGAAATTTATTTTTATATTATAAAATTATTTAATAAAAACAATGTATATTGTTTAATAAAAATT